AATCCTGGGGGAGAGAAGTGTGTACCTGGCCATGTTAAATCTGCTAATCCTCATATATTACCAGTAAGAATAAAATAAACTAAAAAGTATCATCATGTGCCATTTCTACACTGTTAGTGATACAACAAATATGGTCTCTTGGCAAGTGATACACTGATGCATTTTTTAAATTGTGTTCTTGAAAATATGATGAAAAATCTTCTGGGGACTGAGAGGGGATCGATCAATCAGTCTGCCCCCTCTTGCTACCTAAAGGTTGACCATATCCTTCTGAGATTTAACAAATCTTCATAATCTTGTTGGCAGACAAACAAGGCAGATCCCAGATCTGTTCAATTTTCAAAGTAATTAAAATTAGGGTAGCCAGAGTCCTAAACCAGCCAGGTGTCACATCAGTCCTACACCAGTCAGGTGTGATCTAAGTCCTACAAGGGCAACCACAAAGACTGAACGTGCTCATTCTGAAATATGTGGGAAATGTTCCCTGGTAACCTTACCAGTTAATTTATTGTGGTCACATTAGACTTTTCAAATGAGTAATTTTCCAGTAGGCCATGTCTTATTCTTTCAATTACCGTTTTGAGCAGCATCGTTCCACAATACCCTGACTAGCTTCCTGCTTGACTGATCCTATTGTTTGCCTGCCAGCAGGTACACTGGGCACCCTAACTGTGGTATCTCTCCATTCAGTTGTATCTGTTCACAGCTGTTTAACAGTGAGACTTTACTGCACCACATCAGGTTTTATCATTATGATGTGCTCCGCCCTCTCCATAATGGCTGAAGCAAGTGTGAATCAAAGGCAGTTCAAAATGCAAAACACTTGATATTATCTCTTATTGTTTCTAGTGCCCTTTATCCCACAGATGAGCATAAGCTCCAGTATATAGTATATCCTAATGATATAAGACTTGCTCACTCTTTTCTGCTTTTTATCCCACAATGGAGATAGAAATCCAGTATTTAGCATATTCTAATGATACATGACTTACTCTCTCTCTCTCTCTCTCTCTCTCTCTCTCTCTCTCTCTCTCTCTCTCTCTCTCTCTCTCTCTCTATCTATCTATCTCTCTCTCCCTGCATGTTTGTCTGCGTATGTGTGTGTATGTCAGTGTGTCAGCACGAATGTATATATGTCTGCTGTGTGTTTGCCTGTGTGTGTTTATATGTAAGTGTCTGTGTGTGTGTCTGTATTTTTGTCTAAGTGAATGTGTGTGTCTTTGTGGGAGTGTCCGTGTGTGCATGTGTGTGTCTCCATTCATGACTGTATGTATGCCTGTATTTATGACAGTATGTTTGCCCAGCTCTCTAGCCTAGTTGGCTAAACCGGATTGGGCGGTGAGTGGGTGACAAACTCCTTGTGGTCCGGGTTCACTCCCGGGTGTAGGCTGAAAAGCCACATTTATCCCAGATTTACGGTATTTACAATGGAATCAAGGCCGAAAGGTTGCGATATCCATAATACCAAGCCTCAGGGTTAACAACTCATGGCTTCTGGATACTAAAACAAACAAACATGACAGTATGTTTGTATGTATGTACAAATGTATGTTTGTATGTGTGTATGCCTGTATGGATGGATGGATGGATGGATGGATGGATGGATGGATGGATGGATGGATGGATGGATGGATGGATGGATGGATGGATGAATGAATGGGTGGATGGATGGATAGATGTATGTATGTATGTATGTATGTATGTATGTATGTATGTATGTATGTATGGATGTATGTATGGATGATGTATGATGTATGTATGTATGTATGTATGTATGTATGTATGTATGTATGTATGTATGTATGTATGTATGTATGTATGTATGTATGTATGTATGTATGTATGTATGTATGTATGTATGTATGTATGTATGTATGTATGTATGTATGTATGTATGTATGTATGTATGTATGTATGTATGTATGTATGTATGTATGTATGTATGTATGTATGTATGTATGTATGTATGTATGTATGTATGTATGTATGTATGTATGTATGTATGTATGTATGTATGTATGTATGTATGTATGTATGTATGCCTGTATGTTTGTATGTATGTTTGTGTGAATGCATGTATGCCTGTATGTATGTGTGTATGTATGTATGCCTGTATGCATGCCTGTATGTATGTAATGTATGCATTCATGTATGTATGTGTGTGTAAGTGAGTGGGTGAGTGTGTGTATGTGGGTGTATGTATGTATGTATATGGGTGTGTGTATGCACATGCAGGTTTGTGCATGCACTTTACAAGTATGCATATCATCATATGATCATAACATGCTTTATTTGTAAAATACAACTGCTGTGTGAAAGATGGTTGACTGGAAGGGCCGAATGTAAGACGGGCCTGTGTGCACAATTTGTGACTCTTTGAAAATAAAGTTCGCTCGTTCGTTCGTTCATTCTCTCTCTCTCTCTCTCTCTTGCTCCCTCTCTCTTTTTCTTCAGAGTGGGTGGTTACCTGCCGAGAGTGTCACATAGAACACATACTTTGCAGTGCCATCAATGACCCACAGGGATCTGCAAAAAACTGGCACTCATGAACCAAATTAATCATTCAGTCATTGTCCTGTTGTATGTTCCTATTTCTCCAATCCATTCTGTCCCGTGCAATCACTTCAATATCATGGATGGAATCATGCCCAGTATTTTTGGCTTTTTTCATGAACCAAACACTAGAGTTGACAGTCTGCTCCACACAAACACTAGAGTTGACAGTCTGCTCCACACAAACACTAGAGCTGACAGTCAGCTCCACACAAACACTAGAGTTGACAGTCTGCTCCACACAAACACTAGAGTTGACAGTCTGCTCCACACAAACACTAGAGTTGACAGTCTGCTCCACACAAACACTAGAGTTGACAGTCTGCTCCACACAAACACTAGAGCTGACAGTCAGCTCCACACAAACACTAGAGTTGACAGTCTGCTCCACACAAACACTAGAGTTGACAGTCTGCTCCACAAAAACACTAGAGTTGACAGTCTGCTCCACACAAACACTAGAGTTGACAGTCTGCTCCACACAAATACTATTTTGTCACATATATTTAAATTATGTGTACAAATATTAAATACTTGATCAAGCTGGTTGTTGTGCGACACATGTGATAAGAAAGATATACAGATTACACAAGGTAGGGTAATAACTTCATTGGGTCAGTTTAGAAAGGTACTTATAAGCAAGAGAAGAATTAGGTGTTTCATCCTTCATGACGGTATTTTCCTGTGAGTGTGTGTGTGCATGTGTGAGAAAATGTGTCTGTATGTGCACATATTGTGCAAAAATATCATAGTATCTTCTTTCCCCCCTCATTTAACTAAGTATAAGTACAAAGTAATCATCACTCCTTTCAATCAAAATAAATTATTACTAAAGGGTGTAAAATAAAACTACAATAAGAACAACATACTCCTAACATTAACCTCAGATCTACCAAAAAACTCCAAAATAAAGATTGTATTTGTTTACAAGCTCTGAAGACTTGAAAACAAATAATTTTTCCAGCAAACAACAAACAAGTCATTTTTGTTTAACTCACTGTTTCATTCAATCTGAACTTCTAATGCCATTGAAAGTGTGGAAGAGAAAAATCAGGAAATGGGTAAGGGTAAAACAGAAAATTGTCTTCTTTTGATCATTCACCAGCAAAACATTCTGGTTGTTCATCCACTCCTGGAATTTAGTCTTGATCCAGAACTTGAGTTTTGTGTGCACATCATATTTCTGAATCAGCTCTATCTGTGTGCATACTTTTAATCCTATAATAAGTCACCTTTTACAAAATGTTTGCTGGAGGGGGAGGGAGTGGGGGGCAGTGGGTCTATGCCTTGATCGTGAAACCCAAGCCCAGAAACCCACAAGGGAAAAAAGAGAAATTAATGGCAGTTATATTAAGAGCTGAATGTCTGAGAAGCTCATTAAATACAAGTTATGGCAAAAATGGTCTTGCAATCCTGTGCTCTAACTGTGGAAGATTGTTCTGAACACTCATAGCTCTTGCTAGTCACAGTCACCATCATCATGTGCTGTGATTCCCAAGCATCCCTACAGCATAATATACAACTGTCATCTGGAAGGATGGGAAGGTGTCAACGCAGCCATAAAACAGCTTCACTGAGTCAGAAGAAGAACATTTAGCAATCACATTTTTTTTTTTTCAAATAAAGTGTCAGCAATTTAGTAAGGCTCACAAACACACTGTGTGTGTTTTTTTTTTAAACATGAAAAACTAAACCGAAACCACACAAACACAGTCCATATGCTTAAATAGATTTTTTATAGTGGCCAGATGTAAAAAATAACAGTATATTGTGTTCCAAATGGTACTGCAGCGCACTTATAAATACACCCATACTGGTACCAGGTGACTCTAATGAATTTATAGATACATGAATGATTCATCTATTGATGCCCACTGATTCTCTAACGGAGTTATATATACATGCATGATGCATTTATTGGTGGCCAGTGATTTCCTAATGCACTTATAGATGTGTACTTGGTGCATCTCTCTGTGACCAGTGATTCTCTAATGCCCTTACAGATATGTGTATGATGCATCTGTACTCAGTCCAATGATTCTGATAGATAGATGCATGATGCATCTATCATGCCCAGTGATTCTCTAATGTACTAATAGATTTGTGCATGATACATTTATCTGTTACCAGTTATTCTCTAATGCACTTAAAGATATTGGTGACCAGTGATTCTCTAATGCACTTATAGATACATCCTTGATGAATCTATTGATGCCCAGTGATTCTCTAATGCTCTTACAGATATCTGCATCATGCATCTATCTGTAACCAGTGATTATCTGTGTCAGTGTGCCTATCTATTGGTGCCAAACTGATTCAATACCAGCTTTCAGTAAACCATGTGACATTTATTTATTATGTATTATCATGATTGTTGAATTATATGAACATCTGTTTTAGAGATTGTGTAGACATGTATGTAAAAAAAACAAAAAAACCTTCCAGACCTTTAGACTGAGTAGCTGTACATCTTTCTCTCTGATTTCCTTCTTCAACACTTCCGCCTCTCTGGTCAGACGGTCTATGGTGCTATCCTGAAATGAGCATGATAATTACAACAGAAGAGAAATATGATTATTTTATTTTGAACGCTTTGCATTTATTGCTTTTCAAAGTGCTCCTTCATTCTTTTGGGCATCTGATGTGAGAAACACCCCCCCCCCCCCTTTTCACTTCCACTCTTTTTCCCTGGACTGAAAGAAGTAACCAGCAGTTCTTTCAATTAAGTATAGAAACAAAACAAATTAGTTTCATGGATAATATTATACAGATGATGGTTCAGGCATCTAACATAAAGTACCATAGGAAACAACAGAGTTAGAATTTATGGCATGCTTTACATAGTATATCAACTGAGTGGTATCCCTTGTGTACTGGAGAGTTCTGGGAAATGCCATTCTGGTCTCAAGACTCAGTGAAGGGAAAACCCCCAACTGCACCTCCACACGGCAGAGGAAGGTAAACACACTGTGGTGTGGCCAATGCAGCTATGGGGACCGAGTATCCGTCGGGATAAGTGTACACCTCTGGGGTGCCTTTTTCTGTTAGCAGGAGCCTCACAGAGCAAGGCACTCACTTGCCCTAGCAATTGAAAAGGTTGCTAAAGGCTGAGGACGTAGTCTAAAGCCATGTGGATGTGGAAAGCAACGGGAAACATACCACATTACTATTCCAAGAAACTCATCATGGAAGCCACACCAGCAAGGAGATCAAAATTAGAATTTTAAGAGCATGCATCTTCCCAGTAGCAACATATGGATGTGAGTCGTGGACTATCTCCCAGTCCTTAAGAAAGAGAATGGGCTGAAATGCTGTAGAAAGATTCTCAGAATTTCTTGGACGAAACAGAGGAGAAATACTGACATCTTGAAAGATCTGAATATCAAGGAAGATTGGCTAATAAACAGCATCCTGTCTCGGAAGCTGAAATATTTTGCTCATATCAAGCGCCATGACGTATTGGAAACAATTATAGCAGAAGGCATGGTACCAGGAAGGAGGGGCAGGAGCCGACCAAGCTGAAGATTGGCACAGGATACAAGTGACTTCTTGAGTATGAAAGTGCATGAGGCGGGAGAGCTGGCGAGAGACCAAGTTTCTTTCAAGCAGACCATGATGAGAGCGACGTTCTGTAAAGGACCTGCTACATGATGATGATGGTATCCCTTGTTAAGAATTCGCAAACACAACAAGTAATGAAGTTCACCAAAGTAATTAAGTTTGGAGGTGCTGTGGCAATCACCCGTTATTATGACAACAAACAAAATGAACTAACTTCAGATTCTTTTTTTTTTTAAACAAGAGGTGGATAAATTTTATTAAAGATGTACTATGTAAACATCATTAAATCTTGGTTTTACTTCTGTCTGAAGGTTGGAAATAAGTTCTCCTGCATTGTACACACAAGTAGAACAAAAGCCATCATCCACATCATAATAGGCAGATAAAAATAGGAGTCACTATAACCATATACCCTCTAGTAAAACCTTACCTTGTTTGACATGTCTCTTTGCATTTGGGTGACAAGGCCAGATACTATATTCTTGTCTTTTTTCACCCGCTCCAGTTCAGTTCTTAACTGAGATATCTCTTTGACCCGTTCTCCCAGCTCTTGCTTGAGAACCTGTGGAGCTTGGTCACCTTGCAGTTTGTCCAGCTGTAAGAAAACAATACTTCAAATAATCTGCTCAAAGAAGTTACTAAACCAGAAAAGAAAACTGTATATCCAGTGAATGTATGTCATGTTGGTATTGGTGATATATGGTGAAAACAACTGATGTAGGCAATACAGTTTATCATCTTTAATTCTTTCAGTATCAGGCATTAGTGTAACTCATTCTGCCCTACTAAGCTGTTATTTTAACAAAGAAATGAAAGGTCTGAAGGCATTAAATAATAATTTAATGGCAAAGAAGTTCAAGTAACAACTGCATCAATCAGAGCGGGTAAATGTAACAAGGAACTAGGGAAATTATTTCATGTAAGTAGAAGGCAATGGTCGGCTCTGTGGCTAAGTCGATGCGAACGCTTCGTAATGCCAGGGTGCCGGGTTCGATACCAGCTGCAGACCATGCGCCTTGTGTTGGTTTCGACAGTGGTATCAGAGGGCCGACCATCCAGAAAGCAATGGCAAACTACTGGATGTAAATTTGCATAGAGAAACCCACAACAGCCAGGGGCTGCTGGGGTTGGTTCTGCAATATCCTTTAACTAACCTTAGAAGGCAATAAAAGCATTGGTACTATAACAAAACAAAAAAAAATTCAAAAATCATAAAAAGATATGTTCTATTATGATACAATAGTTGCAATCAGCAAAGAGGTAACACAATTAATTTTTTTAGGTTTAGAAGAGATAGAGAGTAAGGTAAAACTTATTATTAGCGATTTAGTTAAGATAAATGTCATGGTCCCAGCATGCCTCATGAAGTTGACGGACAGCTGAAATTTTTAGGTGGCAAGAGAATATCATCTCTACAGGAATTACTCTGTCCAAGGATAGATAGAAGTTGGCTTGGGAACCTCAAGAAAATGTACATTTGTCATGACGTATCATGTGCTTGTGGGAGCTGCTGTGGTGTGTAGCGGCTAGATGCTTGCCTGTGGATTGGAAGGTCATGGGATCGGGTCCTGACGGAGCAGGACTTTTTTTTTCAAAAATGATCTTGGCTCACAGGTCCACCCAATCCTGAATGGGTAACAGGTACAGCTGGGAAGTAAAGGCAGCCAGAGTGATGCTGACCAAATAAACACCGACTGGTCTACAAGATGTAGGTCCAGCTCTATGTGCCTCAAGGATGCTTTACTTACTTACAATGTGCTTGTGGAAGGTTATATGAAAGAAAATGAGAAAAGAACAAGGGAACAATCAAGAGAATGCTAACAGAATCGGTAGCAGCTTAAATAGAGTTATAATGAATGAGACACATCTTGACTGCAGCAGAATAAAACAATACAAACTGAAACACAACAGGCATGCTAAAATTATGTGGAGAAATAACAAGCATAGTTGCAAGGTGTAAGTCAAACTTGCAACAGGAAGGCACTGGTTTAAATAGGAACATTGAAACATTGATTGGAAAGAAGGCATTAGATTGCACCATAATAGAAAGAGTAAGAGTGAAACTGCAGAAACTTCACAGCAGACTTTCACCAAGAGATGCCGGCTGATGAGATCTATAACATATTGCATACAGATGGATACTATTCATCAAAGCACACATACTAATGCTAACTTTTATCATCATCCTAACCATGTCATAAAATCATTTGCAAAACATCTTTCTCATAATAATCCAACAGATAGATTCTTGATCTTTCACCAGTTCACCTGTTTCAAGAATGATCATGTCCAAGTGCCTTTTGTCTGTAATGTCCTGTGTCCAGAACTGATGATGGTCGACCCCAGTCTCTTCTTGTATGAACCATGCCTTCCACTGTTGCTCTTAGTAAGCCATTGGGATGTTTATATTGATCAAATAATTTCAATTTCTGAGACATAATGCTGGTTATGGGACAGGCTTCTATGATGCTGATATATAATGAAATCTCAGCATTTCTCTTTTTTTTTTGTGTGTCCATGATATTCTAACAATATTATTGACAACATTTAGGTTACGACTTCTCAATTTTCATCTTCAATGATTGTGAAATAGTCCATTATTTGCATCTGTATATTGCCACAGGAAATGTAGATATTCTCAAGTGTTTTAATTTATTTGCTAGTGTTTAACCTCTGCACTGCTTTGACAAGTCTGTATCTGATTTTGTGTGTGTTATTTTTTGTTTTGTTAATGTGCACCCGTTACTGTTCATAATGTTATTTAAATTTTAACACATGCCAGTGGCAGTTAGAGAACCTTTAAAGATATACAATGAAAGGTAAATGCACTTGGCTAAGGAAATCTATGAACAATAAATGGGATACATTCAAGAAAGGTGAAGAAATAAAATTAAAACCTGGACCACCATTAATGGGTATTAACAGTCAGAGGACAAAACAACACATCAGGCACACACAGGGGAGACTCAAACTCATCATAACTAAACAGGCACTGAAATGGGAAAAAGGAGCATTTCCAAAAGAAACCTTAAGAATCATGGTAACTGGAGAGGCCAAAGGTCTGGACTGGATTCAATCCATGATACTGAAACAATTGCACAGGATACAATGGAGATCTATAATGGCCCTGTCAGACACCTTCTTACAGGTGTGACAGAGGTACCGTTGTTATTTGTGTTAGTATGCTGACACTTTCATTAACATGTAAACACTGATTACTGTGTTTCCAATTCTCAAAAAATGTTTATTTAAGTACTCATAATAATTGTAGAGTTAGTCTGGCTTCCACACAAAGTTATTGACTACTGAGTAGCCACCCATTTATTCTTCTAGCTCACAAGCACACTAATCCCAGGTAGTCCCTGCCTAAGTATATCAACAGTACGCTGGTATTGTTGTTCACAAATCATACTAGCAATATAAACAAAGTCATGAAAGGCTAGCGGATGCATCCGGAACAATAATAACGTATCATCCTGGCTACCACAACTAACTTTATAATCTGGCTACACACACAAAAACACCTGTCACAAGTATGAACAACTACTACTGTCCTCTCCACAGCTTTAAATCCAGTCCATGCCAAGTATAAACAATTTCTACATTTCAGGAGTACCAAACAGACACATCAGTTCACTGGACTGTCAAACTACGAACTGCCATGTATTGCTCTACCGGTGTGTCAAGTCCCCTTGTAACCTCCCCCTCACCCGTAACACTCAGTTACCCTTACGGCCCTGCGGGTCTACACACAACCCGGCTAACTAGTAATTGACCTGTCTGCTGCTATGAGTCAGTGTCTAGTCTTTGTTTGTCTTTCTCTCACGGTGTGTGGTAAAGTTGACTCATGACAGGTACCACAGGATGATGATAATGATGGTTGCCAATTATACAGCTGAGAGATTCATTAGATTCTGTCTGACCTAACATGTATAACTTTGGCAGTCAGATTCTGATTAAACCTTTTTAACTTTCATTCACTGTGCCAGGACTGAGCAGATTGTTAATACCCTAGCACCCCAGCAAAAATATTCATTCTCACATATTCCTTTAGGTAAAACAACAAAGGAATGATTATCTACTTGTTACAATTCTTTAGTTTGTTTTATAGTATCCAAAAGCCATGACATGTTAACTTTTAGGCTCGTTATTATGGATATTGCAACCTTTCGGCCTTGATTCCATTGTAAATACCGTAAATCTGGGAGAAAATGTGGCTTTCCTGCCTACCCCCGGGATTGAACCCGGACTACAAGGAGTTCGTCACCCGGTCTCCGCGCAATCCGGTTTAGCCAACTACGCTAGAGAGCCGGGCTGTTACAATTCTCAATTATCAACAACAAACAATTTTTTAAAAAGGGCAAAAACTCAACCTGAACTCTAAGTGCTGCAATCTCTTCTTTTTTCACACTAACTTCTGTCTCCAGATGTAGCAGTTTACCAGACATGTCCCTCTCCCCACCTAAGATGTAGGACGGCTCTTGGAAGACTTTCATCTGTTTGAAACACAAACACAGTTATTAAGAATATCTTAGTGATTAGTCATTAGTTACTGGGGCGCAGAGATGCTCAACCCCACATGGTTTTGCACCAGGACAAGCGACATCATTACGTAAAACACTGCTCTCATCATGGACTGCCTGCAAGAAACTGTCACTTGCCAGCTTTCCCGCCTCGTGCACTTTCCTACTCAAGGTGTCAGTTATATCCTCCTCCCATCTATCTGGTCTTCTCTTATTTTAATTTTTTTATTTAATCCACTGTGGCACTAGATATGACCTAAGTATTTTAGTTTCCAAGGGTATCAGGGTAATATTTGTTTAAACCTTTAAGTGGTCATTCTAGAAACAGGTTCTCAACAGAGAACCTGGCCATCATAGATAGGACCAATTTTTCCTTTGACGTTGGAATGCACCTACCTGAGAGGTGAGGAACCAACAGTCTGCATATAAATAAACCACATCTGTAAATTACATATGGATGCAACACTTAAATCCTGGAACAAGACTAAAGTCCAGAAGGGGACGAAGAGCCAAAACCCACCCCCACCCCACATCCATGAGTTTACAGCTAGTGAATATGAAGAGGACTATCCTCACAACACTCTGCATAGATCCATAGGTACTTTGATCTTGTCAACAATACCTCTATGAGCATAAAATGACTGATCAAGTTCGTTCTGTGTTGACTGATCAAACACCTTGTATGTGCCTTTAGTGAAATGTTCATATCTGGCTGCTCTATGTTGCCCTCCTATCTCCACCAGCCTGGACAAGTCCTGCTTGTTTTCATAAGTAATGTTATATCAACAAATCTAATCATGCATGTTGAACATTGAGGAGAACTGGTTCGTACACAGTGTCCTGACCAAAAAGTTGAAGTATTTTGGCCACATCAAAGGTCATGGTGGCTTGGAGAAGACGGAGATGGAGTGTGCAGTTTGTGGAAAGCAAGACAGGGGTTAACCTCCCCAAAGATGAATACAGGAAACTGAAGATGCACTGATACTGAAAGCACATGGGGCTGGAGAGCTAACAAGGGAGAGGGATACTTTCAGGGGTGCCGTGAGGAAGGCCACGTTCTGTAAAGGACATG